ATTTCACAACTATTTAAAAACATTGAACAGATTTCAGTTTTATTCCCTTTACAGTTCTGAATGGGGACTCATGTTAAATAATTTACTTAAAAATAAAGCAAAACTGAGGGTTTTAATTCTTAATGAAATACATACACATACTCATGGATAAAATGTGGAAAATAACTACCTACCTCATACATCTTAGGAATTCCTTGGTGGTGCAAATGGTTAGCATTTTTCCTGGTAATCAAAATGTTAGTAGATCAAGTTCACGATGCAATGTCTCTCAAGAAAGGCTTAACTATCTATTTCTGAAAATTTAGGATTGAAAACTTTATGGAGGAGACTTCAATTCAACACACATGGGTTAATATTAAAAGTTGAAGTAATTAATAAGTTTAAATACGTATTCTCTGTCATTATGTTTAATAAGTGTTACCCATGATAATTTCTTTAAAATCTCATTTTCAATCCCTTATCTATGAAATTCATAGGTCTTGTGAAGTGAACATATTGGATGCTGAAGATCATACTAAAAATAAAGTGGAAAATACTATTGGTATCCCCTCATTGATTCAATCATAACAAATATGTTGACGTATATTACTTATTGGATGAAATGTTGGAAAACTATGCTGAAGGGCATGAACATGTTAAAAGGCTTTTGATAAATTTTCAAACTCCATATTATGTCAAACATATGTTGTAGAAGAATATATGAAAGACTCACTTAATCTCATAACACTGGGTTTTACGCAAAAGTGTAACTACCTTCTGTTTACATGGTTTCAAATCTGGATAAAGAGACCATCCTCCTACTCATTATGTCTATTTTCAATAATTCTGAGGTCCAGATTTTTCTTCTGATTGGGATTCCAGAATTGGAGCACGCCCACATCTGGATCTCCATCCCCATCTGCCTCATGTACATGGTTGCCATCCTAGGCAACTGCACAATTCTCTTTGTCATAAAGACTGAATCCTCCCTCCATGAGCCCATGTATTATTTCCTGGCCATGTTGGCTCTCTCCGACTTGGGCTTGTCCTTCTCTTCTCTTCCTACCATGCTGAGGGTCTTCTTGTTCAATGTGATGGGAATCTCACACAATGCTTGTTTTGCTCAAGAGTTCTTTATTCATGGGTTCACTGTCATGGAATCTTCAGTTCTTCTAATTATGTCTTTGGATCGGTTTCTTGCCATTCATAATCCCCTAAGATACAGCTCTGTCCTCACTAGCGATCGGGTTTATAAAATGGGCCTCGCCATGGCCTTCAGGAGCGTCCTCTTAGTGCTGCCATTCCCCTTCATTCTAAGGAGACTGAAATACTGCCAGAAGCATGTCCTTTCTCACTCATATTGCTTTCATCAGGACACCATGAAGCTGGCCTGCTCTGACAACAAGATCAATGTGGTTTATGGCTTCTTTGTTGCACTCTGTACTATGCTGGACTTAACTTTGATTTTTGTGTCGTATGTTCTGATCTTGAGGACTGTAATGAATATTGGCTCTCTGGAAGAAAGACTCAAAGCCCTCAACACGTGTGTGTCTCACTTTTGTGCTGTACTTATCTTCTATGTGCCCATCATCACCCTGTCTGCCATGCATCGCTTTGCCAAGCACAAAAGCCCCCTCGTTATGATCCTTATTGCCGATGTCTTCTTGTTAGTGCCACCCGTGATGAACCCTATTGTGTATTGTGTAAAAACCCGGCAAATCCGGGAGAAGGTCTTGGGGAAGTGGCTGAACATATGTGGGAGATAAGAACTTGACCATTAAGGGGAAACATTATCAACCAGTAAGTATTGCTGTCTACTATGGACCCATTGTCATGGGAATCACTGTCCAATGAAGTACTGGAATGGATGAGTCAGTGAGACGTTGTGCAGCCTTAATTAATAAGAAAGCTGGGGTACAATATTCAACAGAAAAGTAGAAATAATCAGTAGACATATGCCTCATTAACATTTAATAAATACTTACAGGGAGTTTGAACAAAACATATAAAGAAGCTGTTGGCTTTTTAATAAACAATGGGTAAAATAGATTCAAGTAGTATTTATTAATATTCTGTAACAATACATAATTGCTATGCTACCTGGGAAAAGTAAATTAGCGGAGACGATGAACTCAGAGATATATGAATACATGGAACCTACTGGGGATATTACTCTGGCTGGAATAGATGGTGTAATTTGCTGAAACTTGAGAGATCATTTTGGATGATATAAGTGGAACCGATTTTGGAATACCTAGAACAATTCAGGAAGGCTAGATTCGGAACGTACTGGCCAGTCAAGTTAGTCCTTCAATGAATAGCTACCGTGCTGAATCTGATTTTAACAAGAACATGTCAGAATACATGAAGACTGTGGATTGGATGCAGAAGGAATGAAGCAGGGAGATGAAATAAAGACTATTGTAATAATTGTGTTGTAATGGGATAGCCCTGGGGTAGATAAAAAGGAAAGAATAATTCTATTGGGAGGACATTTAGAAAGTTCCTAAATTTCACTTAGCAATGAAGTATTAATTTCAAGTGATTTAAGATTATACAGATTATTTAATATCTTCTCTGTGCCTTTTATAAAAATATTTCAATCACTCTACTATTTTATGAATAAATAGCTTTGCTAAATTATATGAAATGTTCTCTCTGGATATTTGGCATGAAAATACATATGTATTTTAATATAGAGAATACTTAATTTAAAGAAAAAATCGGGTGCACATTATATTTTCAATTTGGAAGAGGGCATGGAAATGAAATTTATAAGAACACATTTTTAGGTTTGCAGATATCATTATCATTATGGAGGAAAAAGACTGTTTTGAAATAATGATTTCAAAATTTCTATTAAAGATCTGGCCAAGAGAATGAATATTCAGATACAGAGTCTGAAATGGGACTGGCATGCGACCCATCTGTCAAGACTAGAAAGTAGCGCAGACTTCATCCACAAGGCAATAATACTTGGTAGTAGATATGGAAATAAATACATATTGCTCCTAATGCAAAGAATGCCCTCCCTTATTAAAATGTATCTGTTAGGCTTTTTCACCCAACTATTCCCAATACCCCTATCTTAGTTTGCTTGAACATGTCCCTCTCAAGTTTCCTATCATCCTGTGGATAAGTAAAATTAAATGCAAGTTTATTTACACTGATGCTCTTTAGAAGTGAGTTATTAAGTATATGCTACCAAGAAGGAATTGACCCTAGAGAAGGGCATCTTGTTTGGTAAAGTAGGAACCCAAATCAAACTCACTGACATCATGTGGATTTTTATTCAAGAAGATTTCTCAATGAGATAGGTTGACATCATGTCTGCAACAATAGGCCAAACAATTGTGGGGATGGTTCAGGACTAAGCAGTATTTAATTCTGTGGCGTATAGAATATTTATGAGTTGTAAATAACTTGAGTGCACCTGATAAAGTAACAGTACCCGTTTAAAGCACTTGAATAGTTGCAAGATGTCTCACAATATACCAGCAAAACTCCACGGGAGTGCAAAGGGGGATTTCCAGTATTCAATTTCTGCTTTTCTCTACCACTGTGTTAGTCCCTCCTCTCTACCTTGTACTGCCACATTATAATAATGATCAAGTACACCATATTATTTTCACCTAGATTTTTACAATCTGGCATGGTTCTCACTGGGCCAAGGTAAAGGTGTTTGTGGAATTTTGTTCCTTGCTGGTGGTAGTAAGGATAACTCTGTATCCTTATTTTTCCCAGCTTCTAGAACCCACCCCTATTTGTTGGCTAGAGAGATCTTCTGCTGTCTTCAAAGTCAGCAAAGTTAATCAGCTCTGTGTCTTTCTCCATTATCAAATATCCCTGTAAACACAGCAATAATAATCATTCTTTAAATAATTCATGTGATCAGGTTTGGCCACCTGCTGGTAGGTACCATCGAGTCTGTTCTGAATCAACAGAAAGCAACATGGCCCAGTCATGCACCAACCTCACACTTGTTCTTATGTTACAGCCACTGTGTCAATCTACTTCCGGGAGGGCTTTCTTCTTTTTCTCTTGTCCACTTTCGCAAGCATGATGCCCTCCTCCAGGGACTGGTTTCTCCTGACAACATGTCCAACGTACATGAGCCAAAGTTTAAAGAGTATTCTGGCTCTAGTTCTTCCAAGACATCTGTTTATTCTTTTGGGAATACATGGTGCTTTCAATATTCTTTGCCAACGCTATAGTTCAAATGTGCCGAATTTTATTCAGCCTTCCTTATTCAACATCCAATTTTCACATGCATACGTGGTGATTGAAAATACTATGGGTTGGGTCAGACATACCTTAGTATTCAAAGTTACATCCTTGCTGTGGTAGTTACATAATCTGGTGTCAACTTGTGGAGGGATGGTGTCTAGCCTGTCAATCAGGTCACAGCTTGATGATCTCATTTGGAGGTGCTAAGTTGCTAAATAGCTTGGTGGAGGCCAGACACACACTCACTCCCTGAAAGACATTCCTGTTGACAAGCCACATGGAGACACGCTGATGGCCCTGGAGCTGGAGGAGCCACATGGAGTCCCCTGCCAGCACAGAGATGCTTACACTGCCACTGGATCCACAAGACTTTCCACCCACTGGCCTGTGATCTTCCTGCATTCAGCTTCATTGCATGTGTTCGAGAGTCTGAAGAGGAATTTGTAGATGGTATTGGAAATATGGGCTAATATTGGACTTTTGGACTTGATCTGGGCTGGGGTGGGATGTTTTCACAATATTCAATTTCTCTTGTTTTTAAAGCTTTCTCTTATACACATATGAGTGTCTATGAATTTGTTTCTCTAGTCAACCTGGACTAACACACTTGCTTTTCAACATTTTAAAGATGTCTGGTTTGTGCTGTGGATTTAACTTATGTAATGTTTCATTTGTTCTCCTGACTATTGATTTCATTAACGTTGATTGGGCATTCAAGCAAGGATTAATCCTTGATAACTTCAATCTTTTCTCCATCTATCATGATGTTACATATTGGTTGAGTTGTGAGGATCTGAGTTTTCTTTACATTGAGATGTAATGCATATTGAAGGTTGTAATCCCTGGTCTTCATCAGCAAGGGTTTTGAGTTCTCCTTACTTTCAGCAAGCAAGGCTGTGTCATTGTTGTTAATGAGAATTATTCCAAACCTTATGTCACATTCTCCTTCATACAATATAGTTTCTTTGATTATTTAATTAGCAAACAGATTAAATAAGTATACAATAAAAGGATACAACCCTGATGTATGCCTTTCTTCATTAAAAAAAATGCAGTATCTGTTCCCACAACTACCCCTCAATCCATGTACAAATTCTTCAGGAGCACAATAAAGTGTCCTGGAAGTCCTATTCTCAAGGTTATCCATAGTTTGCTATGAACCCCACAGTTGAATGCCTTTGCATAATCAAAGAAATGCAAGAACACAACTTTCTGGAATTATCTGCTTTCAGCCAAGATCCACCTGTCATCAACAATGATATCCCTTGTTCCATGTCCTCTTCTGAATTCAACCTGAGCTTCTGGAAGTTCCTTCCTACAGTCATTGTTGGATGATCTTTAGCAAGCAAATTTTACTTGCATGTGATATCAAAGGTATTGCTGTATAATTTGTGCAATCTGTTGGGTCATCATCTTTCTTTGCCATGAGTACAAAATGGATCTTTCCAGGCAGTTGGCTAAGTAGTTGTCTTCCAAATTTCCTGACATAGATGAATCAAGTATCTTTGGGTTGAAGGGTTCTTTTAAAGGTGAAGTACTTTGTGGCTCATAACTGGGAACCTAGACTTGCTGTCTCACAAAATGAGAAGCTAGAATCTTTGGGCTAAGTTTAGAGTAGCCTTTGGATATTTATTATCAGTGCTAAGAGAGCTTTGTGATATTATCCAAGTAGGGAAGGAGGCAAGGCTCTGCGTGGCTGAGAGATCAAGGACCAGAAAGAAAGTCCTGCCTGCAAATATCACTGGGTATTTCATAACCCTAATTGTAACCCATTAATTTCCCTAGTGAATCTCATAACTGTGAACATTGGGTCATGAGTTTGTGTACCATTTCAATGCATTATTGAACCTAGCAAAGGCATAGGGGATGCCGTGAAAAGGAAAACTGCTGTCAGACTGGTAAGAAGTTGGAGAATGAAGGCATGTCTGACCTCAGCCTCACGGAACTTGGATACAGATTTGATGCAGTTTGTGAAGTGGAGGATCAGATCCTGTCCTTCCCCATCTATTACTTTACAGGTACCTCTAAGGGAAGTTGAATTTCCAGTTTTTCAGTTAGCAGCCAAGTCCATTAACTATTTGCACCACCCAGATTCCAATAGTTTTCTTATGACACTGTAATTTTCTTTCCCATTTTAATTTTACTCTCTAACAAGTTTCTCCACCTACGAAGCCAGTGCACTAATGAAAGTAAAATGAAAGCAAACCCACACATTTAAAACACTTTCTTTTCTTTCTACTGCTTTTAGGTAAAGGCCTGGAGATTGCTTTCTGCAATTCCATGATATATTCAATCATCTTCATCAGCACTGTAATTTAAATGTATCAACATTTTGTTCTTACTTACCCATTGTTCAGCTTTCATGTGCTTACAAAGTAAATTAGCTGATAAACCAAAGAGCCCAAACCCACTACACTGAGTCAATTCTGACTCATAGCAACTATATGCAGGGTTTATGCGGCTATAAATTGTTATGGGAGCAGGTAGCCTAATCTTTACACTGAGGATTGGCTGGTGGGCTGAATTACTGACTAACACT